CTTAGCCACTATGCTACCAGAGCTCCCCCCATATATATATATAGCATAACCCATTTACAAAAATACCCCTCAGGGGGAGGGAGCTGTTGGCAAACAAACATAGAAGGTGAGTGTTATTTGTGTAAAAAAATATGGTAGGAGTACTAATGGAAGTAGTATCAGCAGCAGCAGAATATCTGAGCTGGGACTTCTAGAATGGTATTCTTGTTGCCTGTCCAGTAGAGGCCAGGTTAGCCTAACTTGGAGAGAAAAGCAGAATCTTCTCTTGTTTCTGTCCCAGGTGGACTGCAGCATTTATAAGAAGTACCCAGTGGTGGCCATCCCCTGCCCCATCACATACCTGCCTGTTTGTGGCTCTGATTACATCACCTATGGGAATGAATGCCACCTGTGCACTGAGAGCTTGTGAGTACCTCGCATAAAAGAAAAGGAATTTAAGTCCAATATTTTCCACTGAAAACTTCTCCTCTTACCAGATGCCTTCTTACCTTTCCATAAGTGTACCCATTCTCACCCAGAAGTAGGTGGTGGGTATAGAAAACTGAATGCCTCACAGTCAGATCACAGTTGAATACAAGCTGCTCTGCCAGCGTGTCTCATCTCATCATATAATCTGCAATTCCTATCTGTCAACTGATGGAATCCAACAAGATCATGAGCTTTATGTTCAAACTGCTATCTCTGGAGCTCAGTTCTTGTTGATTTAGGTTCTGTTGAGTCAATTCTGACTCATATTGACCCCATGTACAACAACAAAACACTGCATAGTCTTACACCATCCTCACAATCTTTGCTATGATTTAGCCCATCACCACAGTCACTGTGTCAATCCATCTTGTTGAAGGTCTTCCCATTTTCTGATGACCCTCTACTTTGTATAGCATGATATTCTTCTCCAGGGACTGGTCCCTTCTGACAACATGACCAATTCATGAGAGACAAAGTCTGATCATTCTCACTTCCAAAGAACGTTCTGGCTATACTTCCTCCAAGACAGATTTGTTTGTTCTTCTAGTAGTCCATTGTACATTTGATATCTTTTGCCAACACCAAAATTAAAATGCCCAAAAATTCTATAAAATCATGTCAGAAGTCATCAAATGAATTAAGTGAGACCACATAGGATGATCTCAAGTCCCAATTTCAATGTTTGCCTGTTTTAAATAGTGAAGTGCTAAACAGTATCTTGTTTGAAGAAGGTCCTGAACCTTCACCAAAAATATACTGAAAACACTATCCTACATGACTTATGTCATACTTTCTCTCACTATAGCTTAGCTTGATTCTTAGACAAACTGTGGCTGCTGATATTTTATTCTCAGATTCTTAGAGGTTTAAGCATCTGGGTCTAAGGGGAATGAGACTAGCACAGAGATACTTTTTTTCCTTTTAATTTAAAATGGGGGATGCAAAGTGTCAGTACTTAGACCAGAACCCCATGGACATGTTCTGTTTAGGTACTTTCTTTGACCTGTACAGTATCTGTGAAGGTGATATAACTAGGCAGGTGCTACTTCTAATTTCAGGAACTGCAGTTGAACACTTACTGTCTTATACAAAGTCTACCTCATTGTTAACTCTCTGATCCTTTTAGGTCATTAAATTTGGCCACTTAGTTTTTTGGTTTTGTTTCCCATCTTTGTGATTATCTGAACAAATTATAACATCAGGTTAGGCTGTAATCCCAGAAAGATATGGCTAAACATTTGTTCCCTCTTCAGATAGTTTTATTTCACAAAAAGGAAGGTTTCCTAACACAGTCATAGGCTTGGCTCCTTGGCCAAGAAACTAACTTGTGTTCAAGAGACACTAAAATTGCCCTTTGATGTGGCACAAGTTTTCACTAATAATCCAGAATCCAGCCTCATCCCAGGTTTGGCTGAGCAGGAGAAGCTAAGAGGCAGACCAACTCAACTTTCCTTGACTAAAGCCTGCATGCTTTGTGGTTTTAAGACATTGAGTTTTCAGCCTGGGTTCTGGGATCAGTGAAGGCAGCAGTGGTGGGGAAAGCATTACTGGACAAGAAGTACTCTGCTCTTCCTCTGTCAAAGACTCCCTGTGTCTAGAGCCCCCCTTCTATGGGACTCACTTTCTTCATCTGAAAAATTAGGCTCTATCTCATGATCTCTGTATTTCCTTTCAGCTCTAATATTATTTAAAATTTCCTCTCGTATTAATGAACCTTGTTATCTATGTCTTCCTTTAGGAAAAGTAATGGAAAAATTCAGTTTCTTCATGAAGGACAATGCTAACTTTTCAATGGGTACAGAGTAATTTCATCCTCATCGTCATCTTCATCATCTTCAGTCTCTGACTCCCTTCACCTACCATTTGGCTGATGTGCTACATGAGAGTTGGAAACAGATTCCAAGTCACCATAGTTCAGTGGAGAAAGTTGTTACACTCTCTCCCATCCCCTTCAAACTCGTGTCTCACAGTTTGACTGACTTTAATTCAATAAAAGAATGACCTCACAGAATTTAAATTTACTTGTGGATATTTTTTTTTTCTTAGATAAGCATTCAGTATCTCAGTTTAAAAAGAATATACAAAGTTTATTGTTCAGAGAAAATTTTGTACAATAAATCTCAAATAGCTTCCAAGAAACACACACACACACAAATATCAGTGAATACTTCACACTGTCCTATGTCTTTGTTTCTTATTAACCAGCAATCCCACTGGAAACTAGTCTAGGAGCTATCCTGGTTCCATATATCAGTCTGCTTTCTGAAACTCCTTGAAAAGGAACTGCCTTCATTCCAAAAAATCATCTCTAGATGGGAGGTTTTCTTGTCCATAACTCTCCATAACATTCTATAACTTCTCTTCTCTTGACTTACTCATTGTTATCCTCCTGTTATAGCCTTAATAGTATATCTCTCTAACTGACTACTATATTGATTGAGGCAGATTGCTTGAGATCCTATGATTAACCATCTATACCTACAAAATGTAGACACCACTGCTTACTACTTAGGGATCAAGAAAACATTGGCAATATTAAATAAACAATAATATTTTTTAGACATTTTTGTTTTAATCACAAAGAGGAATGGAGAATAAATGTTTAATGATAGAGCTAGTGTTTCTTCTGTGGAAGATATTTTTGTGACCATAGCAACCTAGATCTTCCTTAATTAATGGGCCTGGTGGCTCACAAGAAATTTATAACCCAGATCGAGCCTTGCTTTACTTTCATGTCCTTTTTGTTCTTCTCCCCATATATGCTTCAGAACCAGTCTTGGCCAAGATATTAACATAAGATGGTCCATCCCACCCACAAGATTGCCCTGAAAGCACAAGGTTGTTGTTATTAGGTGCTGTTGAGTCAATTTTGACTCACAGTGACCCCATGTAACAGAGTCACCAGGTCTTTCTCTCATGGAACCACTAGATGGGTTCAAACCTCCAACCTTTCAGTTAGCAGATGAGCACCTAATCATTGTATCTCCAGGGCTCCTGAAAACACAAGTAGGCTAGTAGAATCCTAATCTTCACAGACTCCAGGAGAAAGAGGGGATCTATGGCTGTAATTGCTGCCTCTCCCCTTATCCACAAAAGAAAAATGGTAGAAAAGAGACTTACAAACAGTTGTAATATGCCTCCATTATATATTCCATTGCTAGAGTTCTATATAAATTGCATAGTTACAGATTCTTCATGATCATGACACATCTGATATAGTCAATATAGTAGTCAAGGACAAATGTCCTTGACTATTATCACTACGGAAGTAGATTGCCCAACCTTCCTTCCGAGGAGTGGCTGGAGGGTTTGAACCATGAGCCTTCTGGTTAGCAGTCAAATGCTTTAGACATTATGCCACCAGAGCTCCCATGGTCAAGGACAAATGTAGGTCTGAATTCGAGTTACATTTATGGTTCAGATCATGTTCAGGTTAAGTTCAAAGCCAGTATCAAGTCAGGTCATAGCCAAGCTAACTATAGAAACTGTGATGATCAGAATAAGGAAGTATCTGAGGCAAAAACAGCAACCAAAGAAAAGTTAAGCAACAAAGGAGAAGTTGTTATCTGGGAATTGAAGCAGGCCTGGAATAGGTGCTTAAATGGATTAGCAAATGGGAATAGCAAGGGCAATAAAGGAGAGAAGAAATAGGAGTGAAAAAGCATTCAAAAGAAGTTAAAAATCAAAAAGACTCAGGTCAATAAAATGAGACAAGAAAACAATAACTCTCCCAGAATTAACAATAAGGGATAAACAAGAGGAACTAGAGAGGGATGGGCTCAACAAGAGGAGCAACATAGGGAAGTTGTTACACATCAGGGTAGATGAGCAACCTGAATAACTCAGGAGTGGGAGCAGTTTAGTCATGAATAATAAGACTTCAGCCACAGATGGGCTGTGTGAGGAGGCTAACAAAGAATGCTAATAAATAAATTTTCCAATGTCAACTTCATCATGAGAAATCTCAGAATCCCACTATTCTGTTCCCAATTACGAGGCTGTAAGAAATCTCTACTTTCTACTTAATCAGCTCTTACACCAGCTTTCCACACAGCCACGTGAAGCTAAGTCAGTTCTCAAAAGTCAAAAAGACACAACTTTTCAGAGTTTTCTATCTGCCAAATAAACAGATGACAGTCACAAGCTCAGGAGTACATACACATGATTAACTTACTTCTACCTACTGACTGCAAATTTAGAAGTTTTCTCAAAACCTCTTCAGGATTCCAGCTGTAAACTTAGGAGTCCACAAAAGACACTTCACTGGCTTGGTCCCACTACTCCTTTGGGGAGAGGTCTGGAGGGTTTCCAACACTTCCATGTCCCAAAGAGATATGCTACCCTCCCACATATGTCAATATCTTTCACCAACCAGGAATCTCTCAGAACTTTTGTTTCCAGAACTTTTATAAACTTCACTGAATAGTCATGATTGAGACCTTATTGGGTAGTCATGATTGGGGTCTCACTGAATATTATAAATGATTAAATCATGGCCTTCCTGAAGTTAGCTGACCAGGTGGTCTTTGTATTCCAAACAGTATCATTGGAAACTTCTGATGTTATTCATCTTCCAACCTAGCAATCAGGCTACTTTAAAGGAAAATATGTTCAGCTACCAGAGTGACAGCTGTGTTTTCCAGGAGATGAAAGGTAAACTAAATCACAAGGCACTAAACTCTAAGCATCATCCAATACTCTCTTCCATATCTTAGAGTTATTTTTTTTAACTTTCCTGCATGAGGTTCCCAATTCTTTCCATTATAAACCTAAAAAAAAAAAATTGATGGGTGGGGCTTTATAGAAACTTGCTTCTACCAACTCATGATAATCAACTGCACACATTGTTTTCCCAATCCATGTTCAGTAACTTCATTTCAGTAGTTTAAATTAACCATGTTGGGAGACTATGGCAAGTTAAAAAAAAAAAAAAACTACAAGTTATGACTTATTTTTTCAGAGTTGAATGAGGCCTCAGAGAACATCCTTTATAATATTCTTCACAATTTTCTTTAGAGCCCAGCTCTATAAGAACAATGATGGAAAACTAACTCTTCCATGTGGAAACAGGTCCATTGCTGTAGAGTTTGATTGTCAGAATGCTTTAAATGTCTGGTATTGAAATCTGCATTCATAAGGTTTTCAATCATCAGGGCCAATGAGATCATAAAACAAAAAAGTTCACCTTCTTTCACAATCAATAGGTTCTCAAATATTACAAAATAAATATTCTGTCCCCATTAAAATTACTTTTGTCCAGGATAAAACAGTTAATTCAGCTGGACATTCTATCATGCTATCTCCAGCAACATTTCTATCACCAAGGCCATATTTTCCAACTACCAGTAATTCTTCTTTGTTTCCTACTTTTGCATTCCAATCACCACTGATAATTAACACACCTTGATTGCATCTTTGATCAATTTCAGACTGAAGAAGTTGGTATAAATCTTCAATTTCCTCATGCTTGGCTTTGGGGGTTGGTGTCTAAATTTGAATAATAGTAGTATTGATTGGTCTTCCTTGTAGCTATATGTATATTATCCTATCACTGACAGCACTGTACTTCAGGATAGATCTTGAAACATTCTTTGTGACCATGAATGCCATGCCATTCCTCTTCAATTTGTCATTCCTGGCATAATAGATCATATGGCTGTCTGATTTAAAATGGCCAAAACTAGTCCATTTCAGCTCACTAATGCCTAGGATATCAATTTTTAGACATTCCATTTCATTTTTGACAACTTCCAATTTTCCTAGATTCATACTTCATACATTCCATGTTCTGATTATTAATAGATGTTTGCAGCTGTTACTTCTCATCTTGAGACATGCAATATCAGCAAATGGAAGTCCTGAAAGCTTTCCTCTATGAACATCATTAAGCTTGGCTCTACTCTGAAGAAGTGGCTCTTGGAGTTCCGGCAAGATGGCGGACTAGGCACAAGGACTGCACAGATGCTCTTCAACAAACAAAAGGGAAACCAATTAACACAGACACAGAAGATAATCTTGGACCCCTAAGCCTTGAAGGGAAGGATACAAAAGTGGACTAAACCCCAACTAGCAGAA